ATTAATAAATTGAAGGGGTTCGACTATAGTAATATCTTTAACTTACACCTCCTCAGGGGAAGTTGCATAGGTTTCACCAAGCGTAACATGTCCAGATTTTCTGTTTTAAAAAAGCAACAAACACCTTCAGCGTACAAAAAGCCACATGATGCTTTTCTGTATATAAAAAAGTCAATGATGCTTTTGATCAGGATATCGTATTCGATTTATTATAATAATAATACCAAGTTCTGCCTATCCTAAAAATGAGCGCGCACCTTACTATGCAAATATGCATGCACGCGCACTTCATTTCAAAGGATGAAAAAATACTTTAGTAAAGATTTTGTACAAAAAACATATATTGGAAGCTAATCAAAGTTTTTAAAAAGGTCTAACGTTAGGTCGTAGAATAACATTATAATTTTATTTATTAATAGTATTAAGTACGGTAAAGTTTAGCCCTAGCTAAAATAAAGCAAAAAAAAATGTACACAGGTTACAGTGTTAATGTATTTCTTTATCTAATATAGGCCGTACTTAATAAAGGCTTAACTAATGTTAGGCCTAACACAAGTGAACTTATAGATTTCTGCGTTTTCAATTAGAATTATTTTTGCGGGTCTCTGCTAGTATTCGAATATTACACGCATTTGTATCATACAGAAAGTACACGGTAAGCTGTGCATATAACTACATCGTGATGACGTGACTTGTAACATTATAACGCCCCCACGGCTGAAAGAGCGAGCATGTTTGGTGGGACAGGGATTCGAACCCGCGACCCTCAGATTGCGAGTGGAGCACCCTAACCACTTGGCCGCATTAAACTGAAAACATAAATAAATGTAACTTCACGTCTTGAAAAGATGTAACGATTATATTCTGGATGGATAAGTGAATATATAATTGGTTACACAACACTGATTTTCAAGGTTTCATAAGCCAGGGCTATGAACTCAATATTAAGATGGGTGTCCACTATCAAAGGAACTACAGATAGCAATCGACAGAGAAATAAAATTTAGTCATATACCTTCTGATTAAAGCTGGTAATATTAAATTATGATTCTGGTAGCTTAAAGAGGGTGTGTTCATAATTTTGTTTTTACATTATCAACTTCTCGAATCTTATTAAAGCACCTCAAACATCTATTTTAACTCTATGTAGGCAGTGATCAATATATGTTCAAACATTTTGGTTTTATATATATATTGTAAAAAGTTTGAAATATCTCAAAGCAGCAAAGACAGCTGTAAGATAAATATTAAATATTAGGCTTGCGTGGCTACGTGTTAAGTTTTTTTTTAAGTATTATAGAATATAGATCGTAGTCAAACCCGCTTGTTAAAAAGCTAAACAAATCATGCCGCCCCCCGAGAAAAAGTCAGCTACTGCTGTTAGGATTCTTTACTGTAATTTACTGTAGTTATCTGAACTTCTAATCACCGTTCAATTTCTTCCAAGTTCAATTTGTATAGCATTACCTCAACGTTCGTGACTGCTGGTCAAATGTTATCTACTGGTTTTTCAGACTTCAGGGCTTACCCCCTTTGAAGATAATGTCAATTCTATAATTCGTCTACTATTATTGAAATTTAGATCTTTTTAATTTCTCACCCCAAAATTAAAAATCTCACTTGTCAGATTGTATCTCAGGTTGTAGTATAGCCTAATCACTCATCTAAACAATCGCCGTTGACGTTTAATTTGGAAGTAAATATTTCATGAGCTACAAAAACTGTTAAGAACAATGGTAGAATGTTAACAGGAATTTTCATAAGGTGATTTCAAATAGATTAGCCTTTGAAGGTAATCTCAAGTCATTTTTAATCTCGGCTTTAAGAAACAGAAGTTGGCATTAAATTATGAAGTAAATATTCGTTCTGTTACTCCACTGATGAACATGTTTAATTATGAAGTAAATATTCGTTCCGTTATTCCACTGATGAACATGTTTAATTATGAAGTAAATATTCGTTCTGTTACTCCTCTGATGAACAAGTTTAACTATAAAGTAAATATTCGTTCTGTTACTCCTCTGATGAACATGTTTAATTATGAAGTAAATATTCGTTCTGTTACTCCTCTGATGAACAAGTTTGATTATGAAGTAAATATTTGTTCTGTTACTCTTCTGATGAACATGTTTAATTATGTAGTAAATATTCGTTCTGTTACTCCACTGATGAACATGTTTAATTATGAAGTAAATATTCGTTCTGTTACTCCTCTGATGAACATGTCCATATAGGATGTTAATAAAATTTGTATCAACTCGATTCTAATAAAGATGTCGATTAAATAACAAGACTGAACTTAGAATATATTTGGCTAATGAACAAATAAGGATTATGGTTTTTTCGAAAGACTAGCAATGTTTAAGTTTCTATAGAATTAAATGAGGACTGGAATTGGAAACATTCCGAGTTACCCCCAAAGTTGAAATTTAATAATAAATAAAATATCGTGCCCCACTGAGCAAGCCAGTAATGTTGTTGACTGTTTTATAAAGCTGGCTAATGCTGTTGACAGGGGGTAATAGAACGAAACAATAATTTGATCAAAACACAAAATATAATCGACACAACAGTGATTGACATTTGATTTTGATTTAAGTATTCCTCGTGCCTTTAAATAATTAAGCATCTCGATAAAGTTTTGCTAAACTATTAAACATGTTTACGTACTTTAATAAAAAAAAATAAACGAAGTTTATGTAGTAAAAGTGTTGTGTGTTTTTCTTTTGTCTTTACTTTTTGTTGTTGTGTGATTTTCTTTTGTTTTTACTTTTTGTTGTTATGTGATTTTTTTGTTTTTACTTTTTGTTGTTGTGTGATTTTCTTTTTTTTTACTTTTTGTTGTTATGTGATTTTTTTGTTTTTACTTTTTGGTTGTTGTGTGATTTTCTTTTGTTTTAATTTTTGTTGTTGTTGTGTGATTTTCTTTTGTTTTTACTTTTTGTTGTTGTGTGATTTTTTTTTGGTTTTACTTTTTTCTTGTTGTTGTTTTTCGCATAGTTACTGTTGCCTTCCCAAATTTTGAACTATTGACCGGGCTAACCTTTACCAACGCATAATGGGATTTATCGTCACATTACAGCGTCCCACGGCTGAAAATGCGTGCACGTTCTGCGCAGAGTTTCGATCCCATGATCCACGCCAAGCTTCAATGGAAGGAACTTAAATGAATAGTAGTTGATATAGGTTTTATGATGTTCAGTAAAAGTGAATGTTTATTATAAATTCACGAAAAACTTTATTTATAAATTCTATTTAAACTACTAATAACGAGGAAGAACCAACTTTTCGAAAATTCTGGTATGTTCCGGATCTCTCTAAATGTGGTTTACATACTTTTGATCAAGGATGATTTACTTTCCGAAACGTCTCGTGCTTTCGGGTTTCTTAACTGTTGCTTACATAAGCCTGATGAAACAATGCTAACCTTTCCAAAATTATCGTATTTTCAGTTTCTTTATTATTTACATAACTCTGATGAAGAATGTCCCATCTCCGATAAATCTCGTATTTTCAGCTCTCTATAATCTTTTTCTTACAACCTTCCGAAGATTCTCGCGTTTCAGTTTTTTAAATGTATTTTATACACTGGATGCCCACTTTAGTAGGGGATACACGTAATAACGGGTTGTGCCACCTTTACCCCAAATAACAGCCATGAAAAGACGTGGCATAGAATCCACAGGGTGCTCGAAGGTGTCGTGATGGATTTTTCAACATTAAGACATTAATATAGTATGCAATTTATGGAGGGAGGTAAGCAGGGGATAGTACCAGTACAAAAAGGCTTAAAACAACAGAAAATGATTACCCTATACGTTTGGTTTATGAGATTTGGAACACCGTGTTATTTTACTATGTGTACATATTCATACATATTAACAAGGCAGTTATATAAATTAATATTTAATAATTAATTTCAATATTTAAAAAAAAAAAATGTTTGGTTTTCAGAACCAAAATTGTGATTTTGTAATAATTTCATAATAAATATATTTTAGTTTCGTTCTTTTATTTTAAAAGCAACAAAACAAAATTTCAGTTCTTCTTCTTGATTGTTTTTTTTTTTAA